ATCCGAGCTAACACACTTTTTTTACCCTCCTCCCCTAAAAACAACATTAACTACGACAACACCAACACCACCATCACCACCACCACCACCACCACCACCACCGCCACCACCGCCACCCACCACCACACCACCACACCACCACCACAACCAACACCACACCGCCACCACCACACCACCACCACCATCACCACCACCACACCACCACCACCACCACCACCCCCAGGGCGCAGACATCCTCGTGTTCCCAGAGTACGGCCTCACCGGTCCATGTCCGTGAGCCCCGCCGCCTTCGCGAGCAAGACGCAGGCGCTCCCCGACCCAGCCGCCGCCGCCGTCCTCTGCAACAGCACCGACACTTCAGAGTCTGTTGAGGTCGGTTGGGAATTGGTGGCAGCGTGTGGCGAGGTGGTTGTAGATAGTAGTTAATGGGCTTGTGTGCTTAGTTTGGGTTTTTTGGTTGGGACTTGGTTGCAAGTGACGTTGCAAGGTGATTGTAGTTGGTAATTAATGGGTAATTATATGTATTTGTATTTTTTTATTATTTTTTTTCTGTTTTTTTTTTTTCAAATATCGTTCGTAATTTATATTGATAATTTTAATATGATGATTTTGTATATCACTGTTTGTTTTTAAGTTATTGAGTATAATCATCATTAGTTTGTATGATTGTTTTTATTATTGTAATCAGGATCATTCAATCATGAAATACCGATTCCTTATTTGTATTTTTTTATTTTTTTTTTGTATGTTTAAGAGTTGAGCTTTGATGTATTATTATTCATTATACTTCCTTAGTTATGATTATTTAATTATCTTCTACGTATTTATTTATCAGATGATTATAGATTTCGATAAGTATCTATTATCAATCATCTGAATATAGAATGAAGAAAACTTTAATAAAACAATCTGCCCTGTTTAACCTACATAATGTCCAGAATACTCTATAGAATAAGATGTAAACTTCAAATATAGCATTTCTTCTCTTATGATAATATTTTTATTTATTATTTATTTCAATTTATTCTTTTATATTAATGATCTCTCCTAATCCTTCTTTTATATTAATGCACGTTCGTAACTCTTCTTTTATATCAATGATAACCCTTGTTTTATATGAATGATCTCTCCTAACCCTTGATCTCTCCTAATCCTTCTTTTATATTAATGCTCGTAACCCTTCTTTTATATCAATGCTCCCTCCTAACCCTTGTTTTATATTAATGATCTCTCCTAATCTTTCTTTTATATTAATGCTCCCTCCTAACCCTTCCTAATAACACGTTACTCATCGGGAAAGGTTAGATCAGTAGCAACTCGAGGAGGTCATTACGTCAGATTTTGATGACGTCAGAAAAGTTGCCATTCTGTTTTTGGAAAAAAGGACACAGGTTATCATTCATATTGGTCTTTTTGATTTTCAAAAAGGAAGGAAAATAATGATTTTAATGGTTATATTTTCAGTGAAAAATCATCAAAATAGTCCTGTTAATGCATTGCTTGCAGTGGGAGTCAAGTCGTAGGCCTGTATTTTTTACTCAGCTTGAAGGAATTAAATATACCTATTTTTATTAGTACCTCCTTGCACTCAACGAATAAATGAAAGATACTGTATTTAATGTGTAGGATACCAGGCCGGGCTATTTTTAGAATAGCACATGTTCATGTTTACAATTTGTACAATATCCAGCAGAGTTAAAGTTTCAATGGTTTTTCAGGCGTTTTGACTTAATAAAGTCTTGTTGGCCTGGTATCCTACACATTGAATAAAATACCTTTCATTCATTCATTGAGTGCAAGGAGGTATCAATAAAAGTAGGTATACTTAGTTCCTTCAAGCTGAGTAAAAAATATAGGCTTATGGCTTGACTCCCACTGCGAGCAATTCCACTTGAGAATCATTCTTGCATAAACATAATCGCCCACTCTTCTCATCCACTGGGCTATTTTGATGAATGTTCAATAAAAATATAAACATTAAGACATAATATTCCATCCTTTTGAAAATTTTAAAAGACCAAAATGATCGACCATATTCACTGCTCGTCCAGTAATGCACGAATTTCGTGGTGATAGCGAGTTCGTGATTTCTTACAACTAATTTGAGTGAAAGATTATCATCATCAATTTCGCAATAAAATTGTCCATTCACTTTTTGGCATATTTCTTGCCAGCAGAGCGGGGTATCCGGCCAGTTCGTGGGTGTCGCCATCATCAAAATAAACCCTATGTGCTTTTTCTAAAATCAGAATCGCAACTTTTGTGCCGTCATCAAAATCTAACGTCATGACCTCCTCGAATTGCTACTGATCTAGCCTTTCCCTTTAAATTAATGCTCTCTCCTAACGCTTCTTTTATATTAATGCTCCCTTCTCACCCCTCTTTTATATTAATGCTCCCTCCCAACTCTTCTTTTACATCAATGCTCCCTCCTATCCTTTCTTTTATATTAATACTCCCTCCTAATCCTTCCTTATAGACGTTGTTCATCCCCTTTATTCAAAAAGGCCTCTATTATTCCACCAGGCAGTTCGCGTGCTGAGTTGCGCAGCGGCGGAGCTCGGCATCTACCTCGTCGTGAACCTCGCCGAACGGGTACCTTGTGAACCCCTTGTGAACCCACGCGAACACCTGAAGGGGTCCGCTCCTGAGTCGACGAAGGACGATGAGGAGGAGCACGTAGTAGGAGGAGAAGGAGGAGAGGGAGAGAGTTTCTGAGGAGGGAGAAGGAGGAGGAGAGAGAGATCTTAGAAAGGGAGAAAGAGAGGGAGAAGAAGGAATTCGAGATCCCAGAGAAGGAGAGAGAGGTCTGGGAGAGGAAGAATGTGGAGAGAAAGGTCCTAGAAGAGGAGAGAAAGATCCAAGAGAAGGAGAAGGAGAGAGAGATCCTGAAAAAGAAGAAGGAGGAGGAACAGCAGCCCGCGAATGCCTTGACTCTGGCTTCGACGTCTACAATACAGAGGTCGTGTTCGATCGAGCCGGCGCCGTGGTGGCGAAGTGAGCGATGCGTTTCGTTCGTTTTTTCATGATTTTCGTTTTTTGAATTTAGTTATTTTCTACTGCATTTCATTATTTTCTTATTGCTCATCAAAAACGTTATTATTGTTTTTCATTAGAATTTGTGTAATTATCATTATTAATTTTATCAGAATCATGATTGCCATTATTATTATTATTGTTGTTGTTGTTGTTGTTGCTGTTGTTAATATTATTATCAATGCTACTATTACCATTATTATTATTTTTATTATATCATTATCATTATTACTATTATTATTATTCATACTGTCATTATTATTATGATCATTATCATAATGATTGTTATTGTTATTGTTGTTATTACTATCAGTTGCTATTATTATTATTATTATTAATTATCATTATTTTTATTGTAATTTCTCTTTGCCATTACTACTATTATCCTTATTATTGTTACCATTGTCATTACCATTACTATTATCACAGTCTCGCACCAAAGAAAATCCCACCACAACCCACGACCCACACCCGACGACAAATCCAGACACCACCCATACCACATCCTTCGCTCCCCAGATACCATAAGAAGTCCCTGTACCTCGAGCCAGGCTTCACCCCGGGGTCACAGGACGATAAGGAAGCCATCTTCACGACCGATTTCGGGGTCACGTTTACGCTTCAGGTACAGTCACGGTCGGAAGTCTTGTCGAACCCGTTTCGAAATCCGTTCCGAACATCGGTTTTTGGCTTTAGGGAAGGGCAGGTGCGAAGTTTCAGTGCGGGGACTTGGGAAGGGCTAGATCAGTAGCAATCCGTTACTTTCATGACGTCATCAAAATAAAACCCAAAAATAGAATCACACGCCATGACACTCCTCGAGTTGCTACTGATCATTATCATAATGATTGTTATTGTTGTTGTTATTACTATCAGTTGCTATTATTATTATTATTATTAATTATCATTATTTTTATTGTTTCAGTGTGGGGACTTGGGAAGGGTTAGATCAGTAGCAATCCGTTACTTTCATGAGTCATCAAAATAAAACCCAAAAAAAATAGAATCACACGCCATGACACTCCTCGAGTTGCTACTGATCATTATCATAATGACTGTTATTGTTATTGTTGTTATTACTATCAGTTGCTATTATTATTATTATTATTAATTATCATTATTTTTATTGTTTCAGTGTGGGGACTTGGGAAGGGTTAGATCAGTAGCAATCCGTTACTTTCATGACGTCATCAAAATAAAACCCATGTGCTTTTTTCCAAAAATAGAATCAAACGCCATGACACTACTCGAGTTGCTACTGATCTAGCCCTCCCCATATGATTTTACGAGTAGATGGGTAATCAGTGCCGGGTAAATAGAGAGGGTTGCCGTCAAGAAGGGCATCCGGTCATAAGAATAAACATATATGACTATATAGCAACTTCATGTTAGAAGGGGATAAAGCTACACTAAATGAGAAGAAAAAGAAGGGTGGTCCTCAGACCACCCTATCTTTCTAGTCTTTCTTCTCTCTCTCTCTGTCGCTCTGTCTTCCAATCCATCTCCTTTCTCTTTTCTCTAGTTTCGCTTCTGTCTGTCTGTCTGTTTATCTGTCAGTGGGTGAGTGAGAAAGTGTGTTAGTGAGTGAGTGTGAGACTCATTAGGGTATGAGAGGGTAGTTTACTGTTACTATTGCCGTTGTCTTGAACTATTTGATATTGTGTTTATTACTGTTGTCTCTTCTAACCATTGGTATCTTTTCTAACTGCTTGCATTGTCTTCATTACTGGTGTCTTTTCTGTTTACTGGTATTGCGGTAATACAGTTGTCTTTCCTATTTACTGGTATTTGCGTTTAATACTATTATCTTTCTAACAACTGGTATCGTCTTTATTACTCTCGTTTCTCCTAATTACTGGTCGTGTTTATTACTATCGTCTTTTTTTCAATTATTGGTATTATTCTTATTGCTATTGTCTTTCCTAACTACTGGTATTGTGTATACTATTGTTGCTGTGGTGTTTATTTTTCATTCCCTTATTCGTCTACTTCCTTATTCTCTTTTTTTTCTCCGTCCCCATTTCCTTGTGGTTGTTTTTCTTTTATTTTTATTTTTTATTTTACTCCATCCTTTCCTCCTGCTCCTCCCCCTCCCCCTCCAACACCGCTTCCTCCTCTTGTTTCTTCGTCTTCTCCTCCTTTTTCTTCTTCACCTTTCTCTTCCTCGGCCTTCTTCCCACTCTTCCCCCTCCACCAACGCTTCCCCCTCCTTTCTTTTCTTTTTCTTCTCTTATTCCTCCCTCTCCTTCACTACCACCTCCTCCTTCTTTTCTTCTTCGTCTTTTTCTTCTCCTTCTCCTTTCCTCCTCCTCCCTCCCTCCCCTCCACCCGCTTCCTCCTCTTTCTTCGTCTTTTTCTTCTCCTCCCCCCTCCCCTCCACCACCACCACTTTCTCCTTTTCTTTCTTTTTCGTTTCTCCTATTCCTCCTCCTCCTCCCCTCCCTCCACACCACCTCCTTTTCTTTCTTCGTCTTTTCTATTCCTCTCCTCCTCCCCCCTTTCCCTTTCCTTCCCCTCCCTCCCCAACATCGCTTCCTCTTCTTTCTTCGTCTTTTTCTTCTCCTTCTTTTATTCCTCCTCCCCCTCCTTCACCACCGCTTCTTCCTCTTTATTTTTCGTCTTTTTCTTCTACTCTTCCTCCTCCTCCTCCTCCCTCCCCTCCCTCCACTTCCGCTTCCTTCTCCTCTTCTTCTATTCCTCCTCCTCCCCCGTTCCCTCTTTCCCCTCCACCACAGCTTCCCCCTCTTTCTTCTTCGTCTTTTTCTATTCCTCCTCCTCCTCCTCCGTTCCTCTCCCCCCCTTCTTTTACCGTTATATGGCCTCCAACCGTCCCCTACAGCCAGACCCTATCTCAAGCCCACGCCAAGACAAGACGATTTGGAATTTGCATCATAATGACTTGGGGATTTGTCTCTTTGCTCTCTCCTTGGATGTTTGTCTTTCTCTTCTCTTTCTGTAACTATAACAACAAAAACAACCATGATAAACAAAGCAAGAGAGAGAAAAAAAGATTAAATGCTCCTGCGGTTTTCGAGTACAGAATGCCCTTTTTTCAGGTGTGCTTTGACGTCCTCTACCCGGGGCCAGGAACGAGCAATGTGGTCGAACGAGGAGTGAAAGATGCTATAATGAGCAGTTACTGGGTGGATGAACTGCCGTTTCTTACCGGTATGTTGTTGTTTGTTGTTGTGTTATTTGTTGTAGTTTTATTGATTTGCCTTTGGTTTTATTCGTGGTTTCATTTAGCCGTTTTATTGATGTGGAAGTTTGTTCTTTTGTCCGTTAGTTTTTCAAATATTCATTCATTCATTCGTTTTTTTTCTGTACATATATACACACACACACGCGCACACACACACACACACACACACCACACACACACACACACACACACACACACACACACACACACACACACACACACACACACACACACACACACACACACACACAATGAACATTATTATTATTATAATCGGGCGTCACGTGGGGTCCACTCTATTAAAGGCTCTTCCTCATAGTGACTGGTTGTTTGATATTGCCAAATATGGCAATTATAACTTATTTTTCGGTTTATTCTACTACTACTAAGTGCTAACTCTTATGCGAATATCTCATTGACGACCGTTGGCCCTCAGCTCCTCAGGTGTGGCAGAGCTGGAGCGAGGGCCTGGCCGTCAACCTGATGGTCGCCAACGTCCACAACCCAGAGGAGGGTGCTCTCGGCTCCGGCATTTTCCGCGGTCTAACCTCACAAGACAGCCTTTACACGTACGACCCCAACAGCGGGTCCAAGCTCCTGGTCGGGGAGGTCGTGAGTCGTCGCACCGCGCCGCTGAGGACGTCGACTGGCCACCACGACGACGACGACGACGCCACGACAACCGAGGGAACGAGAGGGGAGGGCAGTGACGTCATATTGATTCAGTCCCAAGCAGTGCCCGAGAGAGAGGACGTTGGCATGGGCATCTACCAGGAAGCAACTTGGATCCCCACTGAGAACGGGGATGGTGAGGCGGAAGAGAAGAACGGCCAACCCGAGACAGAAGGAAGGGAAATCCGCAGTGAGCGGGTCTTTTTACACGAAGATCTTGAGCGGTATTCAAGTTACGTGCTTGAGAGAGGGGACGGTGCGATGGAGAGAAGTCTTTGCCACAACGACAGTCTTTGTTGCTCTGTGACGTATTCCTTCCCCGCCGATCTCACAGATAACTCTTCATTCTTGCTCCTTGCTTACAGTGGTGTGTCGGAGAAAGGAGGTGGAGCGTACAAACTATTTACACAAGTCTGTGCTGTCGTGTACTGCTTGAACGAAAACGTGACCTCGTGCGCGCGCGTCGAAGAAAACGGACCATCACAGAAAACGTCTTTCCGCGCCCACAACGTCACGGGGGACTTCGATACTTCTTACATATACCCTTCCGTGTTCACCCAAGATTTCAAGCTCGTCGACGCATCTCTGTGGGACTTTGAGTCTTCGTTTTCAAGCGAGAAATTGGTGAAGAGTACGCTGGTGTTGCACGAGGAAGTAGATAACCTGCTGTCACTTACACTCTTTGGTCGGTGGTTCGATCGGGACCCTTAGTATATTGGTTTGGTGGTAGACGATTTGATTCTTGTCGCGTGCATGTGCGTGTATAATCATACATGTACTCATGTGAGAGCAGCCGAGGAAAATAAAAAGTAAATAAAATAATATGAAGTATAGTACCCACTTCGTTTCATTATTCCATTGTCAGTATTTATTCAGATTAATAACACCAACGTAATTAACATGCGATTACAAATACTCTTCGTGATAATAATTTAGTGTTTTTTCTGTTGTTTTTTTTCCAAAGGTAATACAAAACGTTAAAACACACATGCTGAAATGTTACATCAACTTAGTATATAAAATGAAATAGCATCTCATTTCTCTGTTCTTGATTTCTGTTGCAATGCCAAATGACATTTTTTTCTTTCGTCAGTACCTCGTATCGGTGTAAATAAACGATAAAATAAATAAATACATTTAACGGTTCTTGCATTTTACATGAGCGATTCTACACCGTATTTCAGGTCTCAGAGTTCAGGCGTCTATATTTCTGTCCCACTTATACTCTTCGAGAATAGGGTTAAAGGCCAAAGGAAATAGGATTAAAAGAATTGTTAGGTAATTCTATTCTTGGCTTCTGCTTTTCACTTGTTTTTTCTTTTATTCCTCTCTCACTCTCTCTCTCTCTCTCTCTCTCTCTCTCTACCTTTGTTTCGTTATTTGTTTGTGTAAGATTTTTGTCCTTGTTTATAATGATAGCATATACTATTAGAAGAGAGGAGCTGAAATAAGAAAAAAATTATCTTTTAGACAAGAATGATGAAATGATTAGTTATGATAATGATAGTAATATAATATAATGAAAATGAAAATTATGGTAATAATTATAATAATGGTAATGATGGGAATAACAAAAACAAGAACAACTTAACAATAAAAACAAAGTGTATAATAAAAAAATAATAATAAAACTGAGAACAATATTTTAAAAGAATAGCAATTAGTAACCTTTAACAACGCATTTTACTTTAATCTTTAACTCATTTTTACCCTTTTTGTTACAATACTTTATCATGATCCTTTGATGTCTTGCCACATACTTTATTATAGTCCTATAAACCATTAACCATAACAGCAATTACAACCACCAAAAACGTACAAAGATTTACGTACTACCATTTATAACGAAACTGGCAGTTTACACATTTTGATATCAGTGAATGGCTTTCAACTTTTCCAACTCCAGATTTATAGAAATAATTCTTCTATAAGCGATGATAATAATTATTTGATAACTTACAGATCTGTGACAAAAACAATTCAATGGTTGTTTGGTTGTATATGATAATTATTCGATAATTTGTAGGTTGGTAATAATGATTCCATATGGGACTAGTTAGTAATGATTACGAATGGCATTTAACTTCGGAAATCCCAGCCACCCTACCTGGAAAACCGAAAAAAATCCGGTAATCTTTGGAAAATCTTCAAGAATTTTTTGGAAATCCCCAGGGAATCCCAAGAATCCCCAAATCTCGCAAATGTTCGCAGCAATTGGCAATAGTACTAAAGACGGCTTCAAATATCAGTAAAAAAAAAAAAAAAAAAAATCATAAAACAATCGCCTGAGCAGTTGAAGGGCAGAGTGCTATGTTGAGGCCGCTGCACAGGAGTTCGATTGATAAAGCCTTGACAGACGCAGAATATAAACAAGTTACAAATTTATTTGATAATAGCCCAAATGATTTATGCCAGATTTTAGACGAAATTGACCACCTTTGCGAAAAAGTCCCTGTCTATCCCATCGAGCAAACGTAAGGTCTTGAGCTGCAAAACCGTGTCTCGAATTCTTTTGATAAACGCAGTCTTAAATACCATTTTAAATTAATGTTATATCTGAATTGCCTTTTTTAACTTTCAAACCTTTTCAAAACGAACAAAGGTTTATCAGAAACAGAGTACACAGAAATTTTAAAGTACCTACCAGTACTAGTGAATCTTTTTTTTTGGGGGGAAAGCAGACTTTTATCAAAATAAATCAGAAAATACCGGAGAAACGATTATGCATAGGTCAAGAAATAAGGCTCAAGCGCGGTCTTGGTAAACCATTTTATCAATAAAACAGCAGCACAGGATGTTTTGAACGGAGCTGCAAGGTCAAGTGAGTTCAATCCATTAATGTATATTCCCGCAACGTTTCAGAAACAGGATGGCTCCTTTTAAAGAGCTCAAATATCCAAGTGAATATATATGCCGTATATACTCAACGGAAAATAAAAGAAAGAAAACTAAACACTAACTGAAAAGCAAATGAAATTTTAATATCCACCATCTGAATAAAACAGTTCTACAGAATTTATATTAAACAGAATAAAACTCCTACATCATATTGATCGAACTTGGTAAAATATTTCTCAGAATTTTAATAAA